CAAAAATCCATGTTGATCAAAACTAATAGGTTTGGGGCTGAGAACCTCAAATTTCTAGGTTGGGAGGAGGGGACTAAAAAGCCTGTGGTTTTAGAGTTTGAAAACATCTTTCCTAGCCCACTGGTGTTTTTAGTGTTCCTTAGTCTAAACCACCTTTTCCCTCTTTACTTACTTTCCTCCCAGCATGCAGTTTTTTCAGCAGCTTATCTCTAGCTGCAAGAGCTTTGGAAGGGTTTCCTTTATCACAATACTACTGCTTTGAAGCCAGCTAATAGGATGTGCTTCTCAAGAAATGCAGTCCCTTGTCGCCCAAGATGCCTTGTATGCCATGGCAAAAAAACCTCAAACTCTTGTCAAATTTTGTTCTCCTTCATTGCAGTTGAACTTGCCACTGCTGTCCTTTGAGCAGTTCTTTGAGGCAGTGAAACTGAAAAAATCAGTGTAATGAATGAAAACAGTATGGCATGGTGAGCAGCCCTGCATACCCACAGTAACCAGGGAGAATTTTTAAAAATAGTGTTATCTCTTGCAGAGTGCTAGGGCTTGTCTACAGGGAAATTGACCAGCGCAGCTAAAGCAGAGTAAGCTGTTCCACCATAGTTTTTTTCAGAATAGGGTTCCTGTGTGGACCTTATTCTGGATTAAAACTGATTTAATTATGGAATAATTACTCCACTTTGTAATATTCTGAAATAAGTCACTTTTAGTCCAGAATAGATGTTCAGAGAGAGAGAGTGAGTTATTCTGGAATATCTGTGCTGGTCAATTTCCCTGTGCAGACAAGCCCTTCATGTGTGTCTGAAGTAGCTCATGCTCTTGGGTTTCATCTATCCTAGAAAAATGAGTAGGAATTTTCCAGCGTGGATAAAGCTGTATCAGTGCTGGTGTGAGCTCTGGTATAGAGAGGGCATAAGCTTTATTTGCCACCAGGCCATCAGACCCTGCAGATGCTGAAAAATGGCCACAAAGCCAGATTTTTCAAAGGTATTTAAAGATGCAGACAGGTGCCTAGTGAGGTTTTCAGAAGCACCTAGTCATCTAACTCCCATTGCATACATACCTTTACAAATCTGGCCCAAATTTTCTGGTGTAGATGCTCTCTTGGAGAGGGGTGTGTGTTATATTTTTTAATTATTGGCTATTTCATAAAGTTGCATTGTTGGAACCTTTTAGTGGGCTAGAGTTTACTTCTCTGCCCTTCTCCAGGAGCTAAAAACCCCCAACTCCCATAGAAAAGCACCTGGAGACCCAGAATTCAGTCATTGAGGGTTTTCAGCAAAGATTGCTCAGGGTCAACCTCCTCACACTCAAGTCCAAAAGAACAAAAGGAATGAACTTAATTCTGAAGTTTATAAAGTCTTACGATGAAGAAACATAATAACTACAATTTAATGTCTACAGCATAACATGGCTACTTTATAAACCACATCCAGTATCTTCACGCTTATACATAAACATAAATAAAGAGAAAAAAAACCCAAATTAAATCTAAACAGGTCTGTCCCTACAGAAATACAGTGAGAATAAACTCAGAGTTCCCAAAGGCTTTGGTTGAGTTTACCTAAGTCTTAGTCTTTGATCACCAAATCTATGCAGTCTGGTGAGTCAAAAGCTACATCTTCCTTCCACTTGCTTATAGAAATTTTCAGCTGGAATCCAAACAGACCCTTCATCCTCCTCCTTCTCCTGCTGAAATCACTGATTAGCTAGTCAGTTAACCAACCACTTAGTTAAGTAAATTTTTTTAAAAACCCTGCTGCAGAATGCTTGAGTTAGGAAAAACAGCCTGCTTTCTGCTCCTGAGGCTCAACTTCTCCCAGCCCATACAGTGCACATGGCCTTTTCCAAAGAAACTTGCATTCAGGGAGTCTGAGTCCAGTAACTATACCCAAAACTACCACACCAATTCCAGAAACTTCCGAGTGTGGAGAGCAATTTTTTTTTGAGGGTTTTTGATTGATTTTATTATCTAGCTATGCATTTTATGACCCTTTCTCGAGAGCAGTCCCTGTAAAGGCAGCTAGTGGTGATGGCTTTTCTTCTTGAAATGTATTCAGCACCGGAGTCCCAGTTTTAGGATAAGTAGATCACAGTGAGTGTCTCCCAGGGACTTAAAGCAAAGTAGATGTGTTTACAGAAAGTCTTTCCTCAGAGGTTGATGTACGCATTCAATGAATAGTAAAGACTCCAAACTGAGCAGTTCACACAGGATCTGTGCAGCAAAGCTCTGAGTTGGGGCAGGGGGCTACTCCACCCCTCCAGGCTGAGCCGGGCACCACCATCTTGCTAGGCAGATGCACGATGACCAAGACCTATACTTGGCCAAATTTGGGAGTTCTTACTTAAAAACAGCAAAAGGCACATCCCCGATCTCAGGACAATGCCCCTGCCATATGTCAAATCTCTGCTTAAAGCATGGAGGCAGTGGAGCTTCCTTATGAAATTGTGATAAGAGTTGAACATGGGCAAAACAGTTTAGGTTTTCCCTAGTCTTATAACTGGGAACCATTTCTGATTAAACTTTTCGCCCAAATCATGACAGTTTGGCAAAGTTATAGCCAATGGAAAATAGGACCATATAATTGGTGGTGTCAGGCAATCATAACTATAGGCAGTGCTACCAGTTCCACCTAAATCTCTTGTTTTCTCTTTGCCATGCCATTTTAGGAGCAACAAACAGATGAATGGAACTGATTTTGTGTCTAAGACAGTTTGTGGTAATATCCTATAAAATCTGCAGAATAGTTCATCTGGAAAAACCAGCTTTTATTGGCAGCTAGCAACCAGGGTAGAGAATGGCTAGCCAGTCAGTTTTCTCTGATGCAATACTTTTAGCCTGTAGTTTCATCGGTTCTTTTATCCCTTGATCTCCTGCTGGAGAGTTTAGGGGGTCAGTTTTGTGGAGGCTCAGAGAACTTTTTTTCCAGCTTGCAGAGTTGTGTTAAGTTCAGTTTTCTACTTTTGCCTGATAATAAAAGATAGATGTAGATGAGCTGGATGAACGTCTTCCATCACAATATGTTACTAATATAATTTCAGTGCATATATTCGGAATAGATTTCAGATCGTCTGTTTCATTTCTGGTAGTAAAACAACTTCGAGTATAAGAAATCAAGATGTTCATATACTTACATTGATTACTAGCCATTTATACTTTTTTTTAATAAGTTAGATATTTCTACTGTAAACAAATTTACGCAAAGGTAAATGAACTTTGGGTACATGATGTACGTCTGAAACGATCAAATTAGGGCATTATGTCCTAGACCAGGGGTGGCCAACCTGTGGCTCCGGAGCCACGTGTGGCTCTTTAGCAGTTAATATGCGGCTCCATGTATAGGCACCAACTCCGGGGCAGGACCTACAGGCGCCAACTTTCCAATGGACGGGGGGGGCGGTCACTGCTCAACCCCTGGCTCTGCCACAGGCCCTGCCCCCACTCCACCCCTTACCGCTCCATCTCTCCCCATAGCCTGTAGTGCCCTCACTCCTCCTCCTCCCACCCCAGAGCCTCCTGCATGCTATGAAACAGCTGATTGGGAGGGAGGAGGAGGTGCTGATCGGCGGGGCTGCCAGTGGGTGGGACGAGCTGGGAGAGGGGGGGTGAGGGGAGCTGATGGGGGCGCTGCTGACGTATTACTGTGGCTCCTTGGCAAGTACCTTGGTAAATTCTGGCTCCTTCTCAGGCTCAGGTTGGCCACCCCTGTCTTAGACCCTGTCTGCATTACAACTTTCATCTGCTATTTTATATCTGGTTACAAGTTACACAGTTCAGTTTGTGTTAACACAGCAGCTATCAGCAATAGCTGTCTGGGTACAGGTACACATCCTACTATGCTGCTGAAACACGTCTTGTATCAGTTTATCTGGGAAGCTATTCCACAGTCACTTAGCATGGGGTAGAATTCCCACAGGACATGCATCTAGAGCTGAATCACAGTATATATGGCAATGCACTCTGGGATGTCCTGCCCAAGAAAGGTGGGGTTTTCTTTTGTTTGTTTTCTGTGGCTGGAGGAAAGGTGGGGGCCGTGGAACAGCTAATCCAATAACATGGTCATGTTTAGGGTACTCTGTTCACACTGAAAAAAATTTTCTTTTAACCAGTTCAGCACACAGTCATGTGCCAGCCTGCACCTGTGGTGGGGCAAAACACTTTTGGCTGAGCACAGTAATTAACAGAGGTTTTTTCACTGTGTATCCTGCAGACCCAAAACCAGGTGTAGAGCCAGTTGTGCAAGTTACTGGTTCCAAACTAAAAAGTTTATAGGGGTTGAGGGACCCTATGGTAGTGCCATGACCTAGTTTGCAAGAGAGAGTAACACTGAAGGGACACGGAAGGCTGAGATGCTGGTATAAACCATACCTTAAACCATGGATGGTGTGACTGATGATGATGATGGTTACTTCCCTCAGCGTGAGGAGAGGATATAAGACTGCTGTTTTCCTGGCACCACTTTTATATTGACATTTGAATCTACATTATTTCTCAAAAAGAAAAGGAGTACTTGTGGCACCTTAGAGACTAACCAATTTATTTGAGCATGAGCTTTCGTGAGCTACAGCTCACTTCATCGGATGCATACCGTGGAAACTGCGGCAGACATTATATACACACAGAGATCATGAAACAATACCTCCTCCCACCCCACTGTTCTGCTGGTAATAGCTTATCTAAAGTGATCATCAAGTTGGGCCATTTCCAGCACAAATCCAGGTTTTCTCACCCTCCACTCCCCCCCACACAAACTCACTCTCCTGCTGGTCTCTTATAGTCTCTAAGGTGCCACAAGTACTCCTTTTCTTTTTGCGAATACAGACTAACACGGCTGGTACTCTGAAACCTACATTATTTCGAATTCCTTTGAGTGACTTTTGTCACAGGATGCCAGTGATCATGGTGGGAAGTATTAAAGGAAAACTAGCTGCAAAAAGAAAGTCTTTAAAAAAAAAGTCTTGTAATATTTTGCTGTTTTCTTAATTTTGTCTTTTTCATGTAGTGAAGGCAGCAATTTGACCCCGGCTCATCATTACCCCGACTTCAGATTTAAGACCTATGCTCCTCTAGCTTTCCGTTACTTCAGAGAACTTTTTGGTATCAAGCCTGATGATTACTTGGTAAGAATTTGTAATTGTTCCCTGAACTACCAAAACAAAATAGATAAATAAAAAATTGTGATGTGAACACAATTCTGTTTCTGTCGCGGAGGAGGAGGAGGATGGCTAACGATGCTCTAAAGAGGAGTAGAAGTTTTTATATTTTGTAACTGGTGTATAAATTTAGCTTTTGCCAAAACTTTTTTTAATTCTCCAGCTTTTAAGTGATTGCTATAAAACCTGCCATGTTAATTGATAGCTTAATACCTAGAGTATTGCTTCTAGTTCAGGTAATTATCTCTACACGAATATTATAATTAGATTTAAAACTCATGTGAATATTGCTAATTGAATTCTAATTGAGTGCTCTCATATGCTAACTGCCTTATTTATGTGCTTCACAAGAAAATAGTGTTTACATACATATGTTCTAACCTTGACATGGAAAAAGAGATGACCTGAGAACGACATTGATACCTTTGTAAAGACTACTTTCTGTTCTGTTCCTTTTGATTTGCAGTCTTAGGCCTGGTCTACACTAAAAAGTTAGGTCACCCAGCAGAGTAACTCAGAATTCTTCCGTTGACCTAGTTACTACCTCTCAGGGAGGAGGATACCTATAGTGACAGGAGCCCCCCCTCCCTTCAGCATAGGTAGGATCCACTTTGAAATAATACAGCAACTCACTGGAACTCGGCTGCTGTATCATTTCAAGTGTAGACAAGCCCTTAATAATCATACTTAGGGCCCTACCAAATTCATGGCCCATTATCATCAATTTCACGGTCATAAGATTTTTAAAATAGTAAATTTCATGATTTCAGCTATTTAAATCTGAAATTTTGCAGTGTTGTAACTGTAGGGATCCTGACCCAAAAAGGAGTTGTGGGGTGGTCACAAGGTTATTGTAGGGGGTTGTGGTACTGCTATCCTTACTTCTGAGCTGCTGCTGATGGCAGTGCTGCCTTCAGAGCTGGGCAGCTGGAGAGCGGTGGCTGCTGGCTGGGAACCCAGCTCTGAAGGCAGAGCCTCTGCAGAAGTGAGGATGGCATGGTGTGGTATTGCCACCCTTACTTCTGCCCTGCTGTTGGTGTGGTGCTACCTTCAGAGCTGAGCGCCTGGCCAACAGCCACCACTCTCCAGCCACCCAACTCTGAAGGCAGCACAGAAGTAAGGGTAGCAATACCACAACCCCCCTAAAATAACCTTGTGACCCCCCCCCCGAAACTTCCTTTTGGGTCAGGACCCCCAGTTTGAGAAACGCTGGTCTCCCCTTGTGAAATCTGTATAGTCTAAGGTAAAAGCACACAGAAGACCAGATTTCATGGTCCGTGATGCTTTTTTCATGGCCAAGAATTTGGTAGGGTCCTACTCAGACTGTGTGTGTCATGCGCATGCTCAGATGTGAAAATAGAACAACCTTGCTGTAAGTTACACAAGTGTGACTTTCCACCTTGTGGGGACCAACACTGTCAAAAAGAGGATGGTCCAAGATCTTCCTCCCCATACAAATCTGCTGCTGGCAAGGTTGAGGGGGTCTGTGTAGGGTGTCTTCCCCATTCATTAAGAGGGCAAGATCAGATCATTTTGCAAGTTGCCAGTTCACTTCAGAGCTGTGGGATCCCTCCAATATGGAGGCCCAGCAGCTTTTTGCATTCCTTGTGCTTAAAGGTCCAATGTGGGGTTTAAAAAAACCTGAATTTTTTTACAAATATTTTTACTTGTGTTAACCACTGAGATTCTTTACAGTTGAAAGAATGTTAATAAGCTATTTGTCAATTATTTTAAGTGAAACACACACCAAAATTGGCTTAATGGAAGAATCAAAATATTTCTAGACCATCTCTATCCAGTTTATTTTCATATATTTCTCTCAGCTTGGACTGTGAAACTAGCCTACTTAGTTTTTAAAATACGAATATTGTCCTGCGGTGTTGGCAACCCAAACACAGGCGCATTATGCTAGTGCTTGGGTGCCTTATACTGATCCTAACTTCAAATTAAAGTCAAACTTTCCATTGGGTTATTTGTGTTCTTTATCATTCTTTAAACCATGATTTGAGGTCTTCAGTAACTGAGCCAGAGGTTAGGGGTCTATTTCAGGAGTGGATGGGTGAGATTCTGTGATCTGCAATGTGCAGGAGGTCAGATTAGATCATGATGGTCCCTTCTGACCTTAAAGTCTAAGGGCAAATCTGTCTTGCCCTAATCTTTTTAAAAGATGGGTCTGGAGACACTATAGTCTTAGGCCTTGTCTACACTGTGGATTTCAGCCAGCAGTGGCTGGCCACCAGAGAAGCTACCCCAGTGCAGACAGGGAAAGCTGTCACAACCAATTTGTACCAGTGCAACTGAACCCAGTTTCAAGCAGGAGTAAACTACACCAGTGGAATTTGTGGCTTATAGGTTTGTACCAGTTCCGCTTCCCCTCTGGTTAGCCACCAATACTTATAACGGGGGCAAATCTCCACTGTAGGCAGTACTTCATTTTTATAGCCTTTTGATTCATTCACCTCTCTGTAGATTCAATTAAAGAGTCTCTAGGGCCACATATTATAATGAGAGCGATCTCAAGTGGAGCCATGAATTCCAGGGGAGATTGGATTGTAATCCTGAGATCAGAAACCACTGACTGATGCTAGGCTGGAACCAGTTTTTCCAGTTTTGATATGACTGAAATCCTTGACGAAAAATGGCAAAAATCTCTTGAGAATATCTCTTGAGATTTTGCTGCTGTTATATACTCAGCCCTGAATTTGTTTAAAACTGATCCAGATTTGACCGTCTTCTCTCTATTTATAACAGTCACAGTGTTAGGCCAGAAGAAGTACCTGAACCATTTTCTTTATTTCTAGAAAATGCTACAGTGGTTTTAGCCCTGCTACTATTTTATTTGCTTTTAAAATCAGCTGACAATAAAATCAGTCTCCCCATTTACAACCTCTTACCTCAGCCCCTATCCACTATACTAGATGTGATTCAAAATTCTGTTGTCTTAAACCGTTTCTTTTCAGGCTGCAATACAGCAACTGAAAACAGTGGGATTGCTCTTTTATACTGGTTCCTGTTAGAGAGAGAGGGGGAGGGGAGAAATGGAATGAAAAGTATCTCAGCAACACTTTGCCCGGTCCCGCTTTGTGTTCTATTTAACCCCCGTCCCGGCCCTTTTCCAGCCAAATCGTTTCCTCCCCCCCGACAAGGGTTGCCACCGCCCGGGTCCACTTGTTTTCCCCCTTCCCAGGGCCCTTCGACCCTCGGACAGCCCAACTCAGGCCGGCCAGGTAGACGAAGAACCCGAACTTTGACTCTTTCCGTTTGGCCGGGCAAGCGCAGGGACCGCGGCCCAGCAGGGGACCGAGGGTCCCGATCGCAAAGGCCCGCGGACGACGGGTCGGGATCGACGGTTGGGGAGGACGCATCAGAACCCTCCAGTTAAACCAAAACCCGAAAACCCCGGGCAGAGGCGGCCAACAGGGCCCAAGCGCCCGAACGAAGGAGCCAAGCCACCGAAACCGGCACCCCGGTCCCCCAAACGCAGGGCGCAGCCTTTAGGGGGTTCAGCCACCACTACCCCAGCAGGTGTTTGCCCTCAAGGAGATGGAGGCATACGAAGGTTTTGGGGACAAGAAGAGGAGGAGAGGTTGTAGATAGCTCCAGCAAGCAAGCGAGAAACCTTTTCCCACAGCCAAACTTTCTCACCCAGCCCCCCCCCACCCCCCAGCCTCCTGGACCAGCGGGAGAGGGCTCTGGTGGTGTCCTTTTAAAAGCATACATGGTTTAAAGCAAGCGAAGTTCTTTGCCCTGGCTTTGCGTTCGCCTTTGCAAAGGTTCGGGGAGGCGCCATTCCCTCAGGTGGACCTTACCACCCGGCCAGCAACACACGGGGAACACAGAACAAAGCTGCAGTGTGTTTGCGGCATTCAACCAAAATCCTCACGTGGGAGGAGGCAAAAGCGACCTGTAACAAAGCACTGCTTGTTGTAATGTTACTTTCAAGGTTTACCCTGAAAGAGTGTAGCCACTGTTTTATAAAATGTGTCTTTTTATCCCTCTTTTTTTTCCCACCAGCGCATGTTTCAATGATCACAGGTCTCTCCTTCCCAGAGGCTAGTGAAGCTTAGAAAGAAAAAAACACATGAAAGTCCCGAGCCAGCGCCCCCACACGACAGAGCACAGGATGGGGGGCAAATAATGTCAGAGGCAGGAAAGCAAAAAGACGGAGGAGAGGGGAGGGCGAAGAGAGAGGGCGGGCGAAGAGGGGGCCGAAGACAGGGCTGAAGCCAAGGGGCGGCAGCGGATGAGAGGAGGCAGATTCAATGCACGCGCAGGACCAAACCAGAGCTCCAGTGTATGATCCTTTCCCCCTCCAAAGGCTCCCATAAAAAAAGGTTTATAAATTTTAAAGTTGAATTTTAAATGTTTAATTTTCTTTTCCTTCCTCCTCCCCTCTTACTTGTAGTCTCCCCTATTTGTGTGTGATATTTTTTGTTAGGGGGGGGGGGGTGGTTAGTAGGGAGGGTGGGGGGGGGGTCCAAAAAAAATTTTAATCTTAAATTTTAAATTTCTTTCCTCCTTCTCTTACTTGTCTCTAATTCCCAACCTCCCACCGCCATACCCTTATTTTATATATTGTGGTCAATACCTTTAAAAACTTCTACAATTTTTACGTTGTAGCCGCTAGGGGTGCCCCAAGATATATACTTTAAATATTTTTCATAAGTCCCTTCCTGCGTTTTGAAAGATTTAAGTCCCACTTCCTTTTGACTTGGTCCAAAGTAAATATTTTTTTTTTTGGGAAATAGGTTCTCCCCCCATTCTTAAATCCACTATCTTTATCCCCTATATCTTTGTTGGTCCACCCCACATATTCCTCCAAATGTTCCCAAAAGTTGTTGAGTAGACTTTCAATGTTCTTTTAGAAATTAAAGTCTTAGAAATATCCCAGATAATACCCACATTTTTTTTCAATAAATAACCATTAATTTTCCTTTTAAAATTTATTTCACTACTTGATTATGTTTGGTGTGATATATTATAATGGTTTGTTATGTGCTCTAATTAAAGTGTAGGCATTTTTGGGTGAAAAGGGGGAAATTTCTTTTTGAGGGGAGGGGAAGGTTAAGGTTTTGGGAGAAATAAAAAGGGGGTCAAAGGAGTATTTCAGCAGAAGAGGGTTAATAAAAATGGTGACTAAGTTATGTTGTTATTGGAAAAGGAGGTTATCTCTGATTGATACATGCTAGATTTACCTGTACCTTTCTGTGAGTGATGAGTGTGATAGAGGAATGAGTCTAGAAGGGGAGGAGAATGAAAAAAAATTGGTATTTTTGTTTTGACCACTCCATTATCTTTTACATCTTTGGTGAGAGAATAATAATTATATGTGAGAAGATAAAATTAAGTTAGTGCGCTCTAAGAGTTAATAGGATATAGAAAAGAGAATGATTCAAGTATAAATTTAGTCCTTGCCCATGTTGCCCAGGCTCTGATGACCTCACAGAGGGAAGAGAAGAATAATACAAGTCTATGTAGTTTAAAGGAAGGGGTTGTGTATGTGTAGAATGATTAAAGAGACATAGGGTGACTTACTAGATTTGATTATGGGTTGAGTAATAGGAAAAAGGAAATGATTCTGCCCTTGTTTAGGGGGAGGGAGGGAAGGGAGGGATATTACAAACAGGAAATGTTTTAGCCCCATAGGATTGGGATCTCAAAGAATTAATGGGCAGGGAGAGGAATGTGGATAGTACAATAATAAGTGAGTTGTATTGAAGGCTCGGAGTTAATTTAATATAAGATTTATGTGGGAAACTGAATTTATAAAAGATTTTAAAAAGATTATAAATTATATTATAATACCCTAAGTAGGTTTACACTGTTAATTTGCATTGGTGGGGCACAGCTGTTGTAGCTTTGCCGTCTTCCAAATGGTACAGTATGGAAGCACTGCAGGAAGCAGGATGAAGGGGAAAAAATAAATTTGAACAGCTTGTACAAATAAATGGTGACTGGAAAGTATACAAAACATGGGTATTCAGGATGTCAATGTGTTGATCACAAACTATTTATCTTTCTTTTTTAAGTCTTGAGCAAAAGGCTCAAGGTTTGGTTGAGCAAAACTTTGTGGGTTAGGTGGCTTCTTTTGCAAAAAAAAAAACAACAACAAAAAAAAAAAAAACCTCAAGGATAAAATAAGATCCTTGTCTCATAACTTGTAATCCTGGATTTGTGATTTTCCTTATAGACCATCCCTATTTTATTGCAATAATGTAGTTTATTATATTTTACTATTCCAAATAATTGGCTTCAAAACCTCATAGCAATAATATTTTTCACTATTGAGGCTGCATATATTGGTAGGATGGGCTAGAAATGTGGATAATAACAGAATGTAAAGACACTCTTGATTCAAAGGTGTATAGTATAACATTACTAAAATAAAAGTGAAAATTTAATGCATTACGTTTTTAAAAATATGTACGACATGGTGAAACATTTGAACTCAGAGCAAGCATTCATTTTTTTAAACTATATTTTCCCCTAAGCATACTTGTTGTTGTTGTTCCCTTCTCTTCCTCTCCCCACCTCTACCCCCTTGTTCTTGGACATCTCTGCTCCGCAGCATCATCTACTGATGTCTATAGGACCAAATCCTCGTCCCACTGAAATCAGTGACAGAACTCCTTTTGAATTCAATAGTACTTGGTTTTAGTTTATAAAAAATTATTTCTTATAATGAAGCCTGGCACTTTTCATGATAGTCCTGGTGGAAAGGGCTACTGGTTTAAGGAACAGCCACTCTTGCAGTTGTAAAAAGACCAGAAAACATACTTCTGTTTTAAGAATTATTCCCCTGGTACATAAATAGTTTAAAACACGTTTGTTTTAAGTATAGTTTGTTTGTTTGCAGGGCACTCCCTTATTAATGTTACTGTGCTACAATTTCAATGTGTATGAAGTTATTGACCTTAACTATGCCTTTTTTAAATAGAAGAAAAGAGATTCTTAACAAAGATTTTTTATTAGCATATTAATCCTGCTCTTCAGTTTATTACAAATGAAAATCCCTTGATTACTAAGTTTGGAGAGGAGATGGATACTAAGAGGGTTGAGTGGGGGCATGAAATGTGAATTAACATGGATGCAGTAGAACATTTATAAATATATAGATTTTCTTTTTCCCGTATAGGACATCTGATTCCCATCAGTTAAAATATTCTATCTTCTACTTTTTATCTAATGTAAAGGCAAATTGCAGTATGTATTCTTGAGGCAGAAGGCTGCCTCCTCACCATAATGTGGGGGTTGTGGAACATGTCCATGCTCTTCCAATTCTCAACTGTTGGACGATCACCTATTTGGCCTAACTTATGCAGGGGCTGTGGCAGCTTGAGAATCGAGGAACTTTAACTATCTTCCTTACTTCCCCCTCCCCCTTTGTACCAGCCATTCTTTTAAAAGATTTTTATATTGAAAACCACCTGTATTGGCTGCAAACTCCATTTTTTCTTTGTTTCAGTATTCAATCTGCAGTGAACCTTTAATAGAATTATCCAATCCTGGTGCCAGCGGGTCTTTATTTTTTGTAACTAGTGATGATGAGTTCATCATCAAAACAGTTCAACACAAAGAGGCTGAGTTTCTTCAGAAGCTGTTACCAGGTTACTACATGGTGAGTAACTGCAGATCATTAATTTTTCTACTTCTGTATGTTTTCCATATCCTTCATGTTTCACATCTCCTTTTATTCTGAATAATTTCATTCATTGTCTTCCAGTATTTTTGTCAATTTTTATTTAATGTTTATCTTAATATTTTTATACATTTTACACTTTAAAAGACAACATCTTTGTGGGCATGCACTCACCAGCAATAAGTAATTTAACTTATGGGTCAAAGTCACTGTTACCTTAAATGCTAAAGGGACACTATCAAGATGGTTCCATTTTAATATAATTCTTATCTTTGTTCATAATAATTTAGTATTAAAATGGAGAGAACTTTTAAAAGTCTAATTTATTTTTCTCCATTTGTTTGTTTGCCCTTTTGCATTTCATTCAAGGAGGCCAAAGAAACTAGATTGGTCAATTTCCCTTCAGTTTCTAAACTGCTTTAATCTTGGGTTTTCCTATATTAGCACAACAACATTTTGTTGAAAAAAAATTCTATTCATATAACTCCTTTAAAAATATTAATTTTTAACCAGATATATTTTGGGGCTTCAACTAAGTTGACTGTCTCTTTAACATGGGCCGATTGTCAGCAAAGTGAATAAACTGACCATCAGAAACAAATAGGACTAAATATTGCAAGAGGCTGCATTCTTCCTGACAGCCACTGAGCTCCCATGAAGAGGCAAACCTCTCAACACCTCTCAGGTGATGGTCAGCATCTTGTAGGATTGTGCCTGTAGTGACCAGATGTGTCCCCATCATCCCAACCCCCTTTCAAAAAATAAAATCACATGTGGACACTTTCCACCTCATTTATTTGAAATTTACCGTGATTATCTGATGGTGGTGGTATTAAGCTAATATAAAGTAACTGTGAGTTTGAATGTTTGTGTAAAGAGACTTCACTCATTCAAAGATTCAGAAAATATATCATAGCTGGTTGTCTTCATTGTTAATCTTTATAATCTGTTTGATTTATGTCTGAATTGGCCATCATACAAATACACATTATAAAGGCTTTTCTGCTTTGTTTTTGTGAACTAACCATTCACAAAGTTAACATTATACACACAAGCATTTACCAAAATAAAAAGGTTTAATTCATGCGATTCCTGTATCGAGGCTCTTTAAGTAGGAACTTTCTTTCTTTAGTTGTAAAGGGGAACTTTTAACCATAACAGACCTAAAATAGAAATAATTTCTTTTTCACCTGTTTTTCATGTTGATAGTGATTCAAGATAGGAGTGTCTAAAATATGGTTCTTGCCTTCCCATCTCTTATCCTCTCCTGCTAGATGCTTGGCCTGCTGTTGAATTTGGGATATGATATAGTTTCCATTTTGACAGACTGTGATGTCGTAAAAGGATCATTACCTTTTTGCATTCTGAAGTAGACAACAATCTGGGCTATAATAAACATAGCCAAAATTGGCAGTAACTCTGGTTTTGCAAAACCTCACTAGGTCGGGCTTTTGTTTCACAAAACCTAAACCAGAGGTGACTTGAATGAAATGGGATCCAAACCCCTTAAAAAAAATCTTTGGGTGAGAGGGTTGTTCTGTTAAGTCTTCAGTCCATCTCTAGACTCAAGCAAGAACCCTCTCATGAGGGCACATTAAGGCCAAAAGCAGCAAAAATGCTGAGTTTCTGCTATGCTATTGACCTAATTTAAATAGACCCCATGCAAGAGGACAAAGAAACCCTATAGTGTGCAATGATGAAAGACTGTGGTTCTCTTCAAGGCAGTGCAGAAGAGGAAATGTGGTCATGTCAGGAGCTTAAAATGTACAGAATGAACCACGTGGCCAAAAGTGACATAAAATGGAATCAGCAGGCCATGTCTCTTCCCCCTACACCCCTGCTCTCGCTGCCTCAGTGCCCAGGCATAGGGAGACATGGCCTGGCTCTTGGGATGTCATGGGCATTTCTTTGATTTTTTGGCCCTGAGGCTTCTGTCACCCAGATCCCTCAATTTCATTTAAACAGTCTCTTCTCCTGGGTTGTGCTAGCTTTTTCAAGTTTGGGCCCAGTGGGATGGAGAGAATGACTGACTGGTCAAAGAAATTGTTTAGAATATAAAATAACACACACCCCTTTGTCAATGTTAATATGCTTAAGTGTGAAAACCCCTCTAAAACGTGAATGTTTAAAAAAATCTATTCAAACTTTGTGGTGTGGTTGTTTTTTGTTTTTGTATTTTTTTAGAATTTGAACCAGAATCCAAGGACTCTCTTACCAAAATTTTATGGACTATACTGTGTTCAGTCAGGGGGCATTAACATCAGAATCGTCGTGATGAACAATGTTTTGCCTCGGGCAATGAAAATGCATTTCACATATGACTTGAAAGGCTCTACCTATAAACGGAGAGCATCAAGAAAAGAAAGGGAGAAATCCAACCCCACATTTAAAGACTTGGATTTCTTGCAAGAGATGCATGAAGGACTGTATTTTGACTCAGAAACATACAGCGCACTGATGAAAACACTACAGAGGGATTGTCGAGTAAGTAAAAGTTGTTCATATTTAAAGTGACATTCAGATTTGTTTAATCCAGATTTACACCAGAGAATACTGAGAACAGAATCTGGCTCTGTGAATCGTTCAAACTAGTAAAGCTTTCTGATGCAATTTAATTATAGACAGATTCCAACTGCAGTTATTTTTTTAAATGGCATAAGTGTTCTATCTCCAGCTGCTGAGATTTGACATGGGTTGCTATGTAACAGTAAACTGCTTTCTGTGATGAATACCTATTAGAAGACCATAATAAAAAAGGATTAGCACTCAGAGGTTTTGTACTTTGGGATTTTTTTAATTGTTCTCTGAGGTATAGCAAGTATAATTGTTGTACTGTTCTCAAATGTTCAAAAGTATGTGCAGGCCTGTCGGTGCTGTATGTTGCTTTGTTAAATGAATCCGTGCATTAGCTAACAGGAGTTGACAAAGTGAATGAAACCCCAGTGGCAGCAGATTCTGGTTTAGTTCTAGAGCATAATCCCATAAGGATTATATGACAGAGTGTCTGTTTGAGCAAGGACTGGACTTGATGAGCCAGGAGGTCTCTTCTGGTCCAAGGTTGGAAGGGTTGGGAGTAGAACATATTGCAAGGCTTTTCAAGAGGAGGGTGAGACTGTCTGTCTGTCCTTGCTCTTAGAAACCCCTCTGTCCAACTGGGAGGATGGCATTAGTGACAGTGGATGGATCCCCTGCCATAAGGGACGTTGCTGTGAAAGGGAGAGTGAGCACAAAGGAGGAAATAGGAGAGATTCCCTGGGCTCTAAGAGGTCCACTGAAGAAGAAAACTGGATTCTGTAGGAGTCCTAACAGCTCAATGAGAAAACAGCAGCATGGATGGGATGAGCTCATAGCCTAGAAAGGGCATCCCTCACAGCACTTTGTTGTTTGCTGCCACCTGTCAAGTCAAGTCTTGTTGTTGAACATGAATGCTACCTTTTGTTTAATAAATGAGTGTCCGAAATGGCTTGTGCTTTGTAAGTAAAACAGGGTGATCTAACAGTCAGCTGCATGCTCACTGTCAGACGCTTTTCTAACAAAGGGCACTGTTTCTTTAGCGTTCTGCAGTGAGCATGTCCTGAGTTTCTGCCATTAGCGATAATGCAGAGTGCACCAGTGTGTCCCATCTGGAAATCCAGGCGCTCTTTTCCGCCCCCCAATTGTCAGAAAGGTTAATTACACAATCCCAGCTTTGAGAAGAAGAATCTGGTGTACAGAAAATGGTAAACAGATTGTTTGTTTGTTTAAAAGAGACAGAAATAGACTGAATATTAGATTAAAACAAGAATCAGTAATTTGATTGTTATATGTGAAAGGGTTTCTTGTTGGAACTATATTTCAAATCATGATGTATTCTCAGCATGTATTCTATGTTGCGGGCAGGACTAAACATCAGTTTTCTCAGTGTCGCCTAAATTTAACTGTAAAAAATAGCCCTGAGGCTTTTAAAGGCAGAGTTAGGTTTTATTGTTGTCACAAAGGGCAGAGAAGCAAGTCTTTGAATACTAAGCGCTTGTCTACACCACCACTTAAGTCGACGTAAGTTACGTTGCTCAGGGGTGTAAAAAAACCGTGCCCTGAGCTAAGTTCCCTTTAAGCTGCTCAACCATGCAGCAGCCTATTAAGCGCCATGCAGCGTCCTCTCCCCCAGCCCTGGCCCCAACCTAGCCTAGCCATGGACCTGCCGCAGCTGGAGGATGCGCTCTTCCATGGCCCCAGCCCCGCCCCAGCACGGACAGTCCTGCCACGGCGGGGGGAGACGCGCCCCTCTCCTGCCCCCAACCCAGCTCTGGCACAGACCTGCTGTGGCTGGGGGAGTCTTCCCTCCTGTGGCCCCAACCCAGTCCGGGAGCTGCTTCTCCCCTCCCCTCCCCCCCCCCCCCCAGCCCAGGTGCTGCTGCGTGGGGAGAGAGCTGGGTGGAGTTCTCGTTCTCTCTCCCTCCCTCTCCCTCACAGCCCCAGGGCAGCCTGTACCCCAAACCCCTCATCCCCGGCCCCACCCCAGAGCCCGCACCCCTAGCTGGAGCCCTCACCTTCCCGTACCCAAGCCCTGAGCCCCATCTCATACTCCAAATCCCTCGGCCCCACCCCCACCACATGAATTTAATGTGCACCAATATGGAGGTGATATGTCAAACATCACCTCCATAATGGTGCGCACAAAAAAAATTCATTCACTCTTGGGTGGGAAAAATTAGAGGGAACACTAGCCCTGAGCAACATAACTTGCATCAACTTAGCGCAGTGTAGACACCGCTTTGTCTGTGGGAGACACTCTCCCACCAACATAGCTTCCACCTCTCACTGAGGTGGAGTAATTATGTCGGCGGGAGAGCACTCTCCCATCAACATAATGCGCCTTCACCAGACGCGCTACATCGAGGCCGCTACATCAATACAGTGGTGCCAATTTTAGCACAGTAGTGAAGATAAGCCCGAAGATTATAGATTTTATATTTGTATGTACATCTTCTTATGAGTCTACAATGTCTGTGTTGATTTTTACCCCTTTACCCCAAACCAAAAATAACATTTATTCATACACATGAAGGTTGGCAAAAAGGACTGAAATGCAGATTGTGATGCTGTCTTACACCAGTTCAGTGGCTCTCAAACTTTTGAAAGATGAGCCTGTCCTTCAGAAAAATGAAACCAACTGCTACCACTTCAGTCCTGCCCATGTGGTGTTAGGGCACGGGCGGGCAAACTTTTTGGCCTGAGGGCCCAATCAGGTTTCCAAATTTTATGGAGGGCTGGTTAGGTGAGGCTGTGTTTCCCCAAACAGCCAGGTATGGCCTGGCCTCTGCCTCCTATCCGACCTCCCCTGCTTCTCGCCCCCTGACTGCTCCCCTGGGACTCCTGCCCCATCCAACCCCCCCTGTCCTCTGACGGCCCCCCTGGGACTCCTACCCCATCCACTGCCTTTCTGTTATCATTCACCCAACATACCAGTTAGAGCAAGAGTGGGCAAACTTTTTGGCCCAAGGGCCACATCGGGTTTTGGAAACTGTATGGAGGGCCGGTTAGGGGAGGGGGTGTGTGGCCATCCCCACCCTGCTTCTAGTCCCCTGACGGCCCTCCCCGGGACTCCTGCCCCATCTACCATCCCCTGCCCTGACTGCCCTCCGCAGCCCCATCCAACCCCCCCCCCTTCCTGACTGCCCCCCTGGGACCGCTGCCCCCATTTAACCCCCCCTGTTCCCTGCCCTCTGACAGCCCTGACCCCTGGCTGCCCAGAGCATTGTGCCAGCAGCGTGGGGGAGGGGGAAGAGCAGGGGAGGAGCTGGGGGCTAGCCTCCCAGACCAGGAGCTCAGGGGCCGGGTAGGAGGGTCCTGTGGGCCAGATGTGGCCTGCGGGCCGTAGTTTGCCCACCTCTGTGTTAGAGGCCTATCCAGTATGAACAATCACTTAAACTTTCAGAATGATACTTCGTCTCCCTTTCTGCATGGTTTGATTAACAGTGAAGTAGTTAACATTGTTTGCATTTTCATGTATTTTCACTGACATCTCGGTTAGAACTCATTGTGGAGTTGGGGAAACTCTCACTTCAGAATGATTGCTTGTTTCAGGCTCGCTGCAAATTCAAGAAGACATTCATGTGTCAGTTGCACGTGACTCACATTTTAAAGGTTTACTTTCACAATCATAGGAGGTAGAGTAAAACCAAATCTGAGACTCTGGTAGACAAATTTGTAAAACCAAATCTGAGACTCTGGTAGACAACTGAGAGGTGAGTCTGCTCCCACTTTCACCATCTCACCCCAGCTAGGGTTGTTTTTTGTTTGTTTTGCGATGCTCCCCCCTCAGGTAGACGCACCCCTTGCTTCAGAAAACACTGCTCTTGTTTATTGCGATTGCTTATTACAATACCTGTTTTCCATTAAATAATGTGTACAGCATATTATATACAAAGTTGAGGGAATATAGGGTTACAGTAGCAAATGATGCAACATCAGACTTTAAGCTTCGTCAAGATGTATTAAAATTAAGTTGTATCTGGAGCCAAATTCTTGCTTGATGTATGCCACTGGCGGCGGGGGAGGGAGAGGAAGAGCAGCTATCTGCATCTGTTTATTTTCTATAATTAATGGATCACTTTGTGTTTGCATGGAATCAAGTGAAACTCAGCTATTTCAGGCGATCATGACTTTAAATTTGAATCTGGGTTGAATTCAGATTAGAATCTGAAATTTGCAGGTGAAACCAAAGAAAAGTCTAATCCAGGATTTCATCAAAATTCCCATTAACTTCAGTGGGATCCTGATGACGAACCTAAATGGGTTGGTGAGGGGGGACTAGAATAGTAAACACAAGACCCTGAAGTACCTTGTTGTTACCTGGTAGAACGCATACTGCTGTCTAGTTAACTATTTGCTCAACTACTCATATGTTTGTTCTTGTATAGGTTCCTGTCCTTGAGTGGGAACTAAGACAGTTTTATTTTGAGGAAGGAGGAAAAACTGCGCTTTATAGCAGTGATTTTTAGGAAACGATAGTATTGCCAACCACAAGTGTTCAAAAATCATGAGGTCAGTTTAATAGCCATGAGGGTTTTACGAAATAATAATTTCTATATCCTTTTTACAATAAAAGCTGTTTTATCTGGGACATGGGGGGGGGAATAGGGGGTGCCGGTAAGTGAAAAATGCTAGTTAACTAAGAGGGAGGGGGTTGGGATGTGGAGCGTGGTCTCTGGGCGGGAGTTTGGGTGCAGGAGGGGGCTCGGGGCAGCGGGTTGGAGCATGGGGGTTCAGGGTGCTGGATCTAGGGGCCGCTCACCTCGAGCAGCTCCCCACAAGCAATCACCTGTCCCGGCTGCTCCTCGGCAGAGGTGTGGCAGGTGGCTCTGTGCACTGCCTCTGCCTGCAGACATCACCCCGGCATTTCCCGTTGGCTGGAGTTTCCAGTCAATGGGAGCTGCATTGCTAGCGCTTGGGTCGGGGGCAGCACACGGAGCCGCCTGCCAAACCTCCACCTAGGAGCAACC